AACATGTTCGGTGACAGGATTCGATCTCGTGACCCGTAGGTTGCGAGTCGATTGCCTTAACCACCAGGCCATGTCAGGCCCAAAACTTGTATATCCCTCACGAAAGTGAAAGAATTTGCATAACTGGACATTTAGAACAGCAATGGATTCCAAAACTACACCCCAAACCAATACGTATCAATATCCTCATCCACAACCACACCTCAAACCAATACGTGTCAATGTCCCCATCCACAACCACACCTCAAACCAATACGTTTCAATATCCCCATCCACAACCACACCTCAAACCAATACGTATCAATATCCCCATCCATAACCATACCTCAAACCAATATGTTTCAATGTCCTCATCCACAAACTCAAGGCTATGGTGACGAAATAAAACATTTCGACTCCCAAAAAACCCATTATGGTGGTTAATAGTACACATAATATTTCGAAGTTGATGAGGTCACACAAGCTTTCGGTTACACATCGTAATTGATGGCTGTTTTCGTGAAAAAGATTGCTAAAAAACCAGAATCACCACAATTCTGTTCGACCTGTCAAACGTCTTATACAATTACAATGGAAGTTAGAGTTTCTGGTCTCTGAATATGTGATAATGGAAACCGTTGTCCAGGAACATCACATGCTTTATGGAGAAGTTTGTCAAAATGGGTGGTCGAAAAGGAGTAATCTTGTTCTATGCCGAAGGTATGTTGAAATAAAAATTTCAATTTTAAGTCATTCTGTGTTATTATATTCATCAGTTCAGTATTATTAAATGGGATTGTAGGTACGACTGTGTTATCACGTTCATCAGTTCAGTATTATTGAATGGGATTGTACGTACTAGTGTTATCACGTTCATCAGTTCAGTATTATTGAATGGGATTGTAGGTACTACTGTGTTATTACGTTCATCAGTTCAGTATTATTGAATGGGATTGTAAGTAGTACTGTGTTATTACCTTCATCAGTTCCGTATTATTGAATGGGATTGTAGGTACCACTGTGTTATTACGTTCATCAGTTCAGTATTATTGAATGGGATTGTAGGTATTACTGTGTTATTACGTTCACCAGTTCAGTGTTACTGAATGGGATTGTAGGTACTACAGTGTTATTACGTTCATCAGTTCAGTATTATTGAATGGGATTGTAGGTATTACTGTGTTATTACGTTCATCAGTTCAGTATTATTGAATGAGATTGTAGGTACTACTGTGTTATTACCTTCATCAGTTCAGTATTATTGAATGGGATTGCATGGTACTACTGTGTTATCACGTTTATTACGTTCAGTATTATTGAATAGGATTGTAGGTACTACTGTGTTATTACCTTCATCAGTTCAGTATTATTGAATGGGATTGCATGGTACTACTGTGTTATCACGTTCATCAGTTCAGTATTATTGAATGGGATTGCATGGTACTACTGTATTATTACCTTCATCAGCTCAGTATTATTGAATTGGATTGTAGGTATTACTGTGCTATTACGTTCATCAGTTCAGTATTATTGAATGGGATTCTAGGTCCTACAGTGTTATCACGTTCATCAGTTCAGTATTATTGAATGGGATTCTATGTCCTACAGTGTTATCACGTTCGTCAGTTCAGAATTATTGAATTGACGAAGTGGTTCCTTTATTATCCTTCGTATAAATTATGCTATTGGTATTTACATTTTCAATTCCTAAACCTTATGCGACACAAGGACTAAATGGCATAGCCATTCCGAAATTAGAAATTCGTGAACAAAGACACGGGGACTATTTATCAACACTTGCCGCCTACACAGCTTTCCTTACACGAGTAGCGGGATTAACATGTCACACTTACAGTGCTTCCGCAGTAAGTGCTACGTAAACGTGTGTGTAACCGATTAAGTTAAAATGATTAACAGTAAAATAAAAACGCTAGTATTCAACATAAATGTAAGAAACCATTTATTTGACACATGGCGTGAATTCCTTCCTCCTCCCACCTCACTGTTAAGAACATGTTACTTTACTCGAAGTAAACTCACAATTATCAAATACATAGTCAATGAAAGAGGAATTAAAAAGCGTTTTACGTTTAAAGTTATTTTACTTTCAATGAATAATCGCCTCTTCATGAGGGAGATTTTCTTCCACCCCCCACCCCCCTACCAGAAGAAAAAAAGGGAAAAGTGCTTTGTATTTTTTTTTATTATTATTCAGACATTCACGACAACAACATAACTCAAATCCCACAACCTTATAAGCACATTTATAGACAAGTTTTTTCGGTGTGTATATATATTATTTCCTTTTGTTCGTTTTCTGTGATTAGGTCTCACGTTTTAAACAAATCCACTGAAACATAGAGAAACAATGAGAGCAAGAAAAGTAGTTTTTGGCTGAGTCCAGGAGATTATGCTGAAGTATACGTGTGTATTGATTACCTTTATTCTGGTAGGCATGGCGTGATATACCTCTAATACAGCCGCGTCACGAGTCCTTCCTTCGTCATCGCAATCAAGTACAGTGGAGAGATACTGACTTTATTTTTGTGTGTGGTTACCGAGAAAACACCGTGCCCCCTTCCTACTCGGGTTTTCTACATATTACTTATGTAGAGGTAAACACCTGGAACGTACAGATATTATACTCTAGAACGCAGTCGCTCATGGTTTCAGTCTAAACTATGCAAGCTTATTTGATCTTTTAACAAAATAAAGACACTTGAGTTGCTTTGTTGCTTAATATTTTACATGTCAGCGAACATTTGTTTTAAACTTAAGTGCGATATCTGATATCTAAACTAATATATATAAGCCATTTTATGAGTAGGATAATAACTACACGTAACAATTAATGTGTGGGAAAATATTCAACTACAAGAGAGAAATCATTAAAATATAAAACTCCACGAGAACAATCAAGACGGTAAAGTTAAATATTACGTTTTGTTTGTGAAACAAAATGTTTGTAAAACTCACTTGTTTCCTTTTTTAAATATATTTATGTTGTATTTTATTAATATATTTAAGTTGTATTTTATTACTATATTTATGTTGTATGTTATTACTAAATTTAAGTTGTATTTTATTATTATATTTATGTTGTATGCTATTACTATACTTATATTGTATTTAATTATTCAATTTATGTAGAGTTCAAAGTTCTCTGTTGTATATCTCATCTCTATATCAGCGAAGTAGTCTCATATCTGTACCTCAGTGAAGTAGTCTTACATCAGTAAATCAGTGAAGTAGTCTCATATCTCGAGTGTGTTTTTTGTTTTATTCTCTTTACAACACCAAACATCTTCAGTAAACGGGTTAACTGATGAATGATACCCATTGTCAGTATTGACTGGAAGAGTGGCTTATCTTTAGATGTGACAGTAAACGGGTTAACTGATGAATGATAACCTTTGTCAGTATTGACTGGAAGAATGACTTATCTTTAGACGTGACAGTAAACAGGTTAACTGATGAATGATACCCATTGTCAGTATTGACTGGAAGAGTGGCTTATCTTTAGACGTGACAGTAAACGGGTTAACTGATGAATGATACCCATTGTCAGTATTGACTGGAAGAGTGGCTTATCTTTAGATGTGACAATAAACGGGTTAACTGATGAATGATAACCATTGTCAGTATTGACTGGAAGAGTGGCTTATCTTTAGACGTGACAGTAAACGGGTTAACTGATGAATGATAACCTTTGTCAGTATTGACTGGAAGAGTGGCTTATCTTTAGACGTGACAGTAAACGGGTTAACTGATGAATGATACCCATTGTCAGTATTGACTGGAAGAGTGGCTTATCTTCAGACGTGACAGTAAACGGGTTAACTGATGAATGATAACCATTGTCAGTATTGACTGGAACAGTAGCTTATCTATAAACGTAACAGTAGAAGAGTTAACTGAATGATAAACATAGTTGGGTGTGTATTACGATGTGTATGTTTGTGTGTTGTATTTCGTCCCTAATTTTGAGCTGATAGATTAGAGGGAAGGCAGTTAGTCAACATAACCCCCCTGCCAACTCTTTTATAACGCTTCCACGCCCCTAGTGTGCAGATTAAGGCTGGTTTTTCGTTCGGGCGCGAGCCACAGTCCGATACGCTGACCAAAGGGCCGCATTTGACCCTTGTATTTTTAAAGTATACAATATAAATATAAAATTACAATTTTAAGCAAGTACTTACAGAGTACCTTACAATTACAAATGTTCTACAATTTAATTCAAGTAGCAACGGATTACACGTACAAGAGAAATATTAGTGTTTTCTAGAACATAACAGAGATACGTTTATGTCTATGAAGAAAAAATATTATCATTAGTATTGTCTGCCTATGTATGTTATTAGGTTTTCCTTGACTAGCGAAATGATTTGATTGGGAGTAGAATAATACACAGCTACTATAGAAATGCATGGAGCGGAGAAACGCTGGTTCTATCCAGATGTAAGACAACTCAACATGTCACTGTTGGCTTATAAGGCGTGTAGAATATGTGGCTAGTATTCAAATATCGAATATATAATGACTATATTTTAGTGGATTCGTTAGTTCGACAATGAAATTAATAAAAAAAATAAGAAAAACTCATTTTAATCAGATATTTAGATTGAAAATTTTCATTTAGAGCTTGCGTGCTCAATGGTGTCGTTTATCGAAATGTTTTTTCGTCGTCTGTTGGTTTGTTTGAAACTTTCTCAACTGAATTGTCTAAGTTTCTTATACTGTTTATTTTTTTTTCTCATCGAAAACTTATGAAGACCCAGAGTCATTAATGTTTGGAATTGATTGAATCCTACAGATATTAAGCCAGAAAACCTTAGACACAGTCAGATGTCTGTACAGATATCCAAGAAGTATTCAACACAATGTGTTGCTATGTTGACCTTCTGTTGTTGATGACGTTGTTTTATGTGTTGTGTTCGGTAAAAATCTCTACCATAACGTCTGTTTTTCTTCTTTCAGTCACATATATAACATCTGTTCTCTACTTTTTTTTTGTCTTTCAGGTTTCAGTTAAATGATTAGCCAGTGGAGACCGAGTCAGGTCTGATAGCTTGGTGTGCCTGTTCTACTTCAGTTGAAACACCGTCTGAACCGTCCAATCAGCCTTGCCCTTTCTTATGACGTCGCTAGAGGAGACCATGCATGAGAATACCCTAAAGACCAACCAGACAGTAGAACCAAGAAATGATTGTTCTAGTATTGCCGACTTGAGTATACAATCGAGTACACCTTTTCAACCTTACCAGAAACGATTCAGTATGTCCCTGGCCTGCCAAAGTACCGGCTGCTCCGATAAAGTGATAGACTCGGATGTGCAAGGCATTACTAATAAATGCGCGGTGTCCGAGAATCAACCAGTCACGGGAGAGAGTAAAACATATCTAAGCAACAGCGTTTCTTCCGATGCAGACATATCTTCTTTAGGTCTTCCTAGTGTCGAGAGTTCGTCGCAATTGTCGAGCACCAGTAATCTTCAGGACACACAGCGGAGCCGGATGTCCGTCGAACTGTCTAGCGTCGCCCTTCCAGTTTCCGGCGGGGAGCGGATAGGAAACCGGCCCGTAAGCTGTGACAGGATGTCCGAACAGTCACCCACTCACAGTCCCGCGATTTCGCCGAACGCAGACTGTAGTAGAAGTCCAGTCGGTCCTGATAACTCCCCTGCATCTGGTAGCAGCGTTCTGGAAGTGAAACGTGCTCGTGTAGAAACAATTGTGTCCACCATGATGCAGTGTCCAAGCGGTCCTGTGAACGGGTGTAAGAAAAGAAAGTTATACCAGCCTCAACAGCACGAAGTGAATGAAGATGAAGAACTGGAAGGAGATAACGAGGAAGATAATGAAGAGTTTTCTGGACCACCGATTAAACAACGTCGCGTATTTCAAGAAGATCTTAAATCGGATTTACGGAAAATGCAGGAGCAACTTGCTTTAATTGAGCAGCAGTACACAGAACTGTTTCAAGAGCACGTCTCACCCTCGCAGCCAATGGTTCTGAAAACCGAGAAGAAACCACTCCAATCTGGTCACTTTGGAGAACGGGACACCTCTCTGGTGGTGCTTACCGGCGTTAATTCCAAAGTCACAGACAACATTCAATCAAGGAAAATGAAGGATACTATAAGTGAAGCCAGACAACTTGCCGACCATAAGGATCAGGAAATCCGTCAATCTTGTATTGTTAAACCAAATGGTCAAACTAGCCAAACTTCAATGACCACTGACCTGGACAATCTGGTTGATGCTCTAAAGTCTGAAATCTCCAGGTCACTGACAAATGTTATCGACTCCATTGTGACGAAGTATAAACAAACCAGAGTATACTCTAAGTCGCTGGAGGCGGAAACCCCTAAGGATCTGACGCTACTATCTCAAATCCTTGATCGAAAATCTCCTCGTACAAAAGTGGTTGACCGTGGCAACAGAGTCACTAGTCAGATGCCAATTGGTCAAAAAGTTAGTCCCTTTTCTTGTGATTCAAACACCAGAACTCAGGATTTCTATTCACAGGGGATTAGACCCCCCACATCGTTATTCTGTCCAACCACCTCATCTCAAGCAATACACTTTGCTCCAGCAAGTAATATCCCTTACCTACCGGCAGGTACGGGAGTTACTACAAGCAGTTGTGTCACGGAGCAAACGGAAGCCATATCTCTGGTAGTAACGCCTAAAAAGAGACGCCACAAGGTTACTGATGCACGTGTAACCTCTCGTCTTATGAGTCACTCCACGAGTCAAGAAGATTGTAGCCCTAAGCATCCTTTCATCACTAACACAACACAACCCTCCATATGTCTCCCGGTCTACCCTCACCAACCACCTCCTTTGGTCCCCGTGAGCTTACCAACGTCTGTGGCTATCCCTAACCCCAGTCTCCATCATAATGAATTGTTTCCCTACTGCTATGAGACTACCAGGCTAGCTTACTTCAGCCAAGAGGACAAGTCATCGCTTGCTGGACGTGCCTATTCCCACTACCCCGATTCTCCAGTCGAGTCCACAGCCTTCTCCTACCTGAAGCAGGATTTGGGAGATGGATCAGACGGTGGCGACAGCCAGAGCTGCGAGTCAAGTCTTGCAGTTATATCCTTTTTACATAGTATTAGACGTTATGGTCCGTTAGGGGGACAGTTTATCACGTACAATGAAAATGTTCAAATCACTAACGCCGAAAAGTCTAGTTTTTGTAGTAAAACAAATAATCTAAAATGAGGCCCATCGATGATGACAAATGTTACATCTTTAATGTTTGTTAGAAACAGTAGTACCAACTTCTATTACATATTTAAAAAGCTAACAGAGGGACTATTCTAGTTCATCTTCACAAACTATCATCAACCCTGACGTTTGAGGGTATTGATTTTGTATATAAAGCAAGCTAGAAAGTGTCATCCTCAATGTCAGCTAATAATGAATTGTAAAACCTTCTGAGAGAAAGTAGAGGAGAACGCATGACGATATGTAGAAGACGCTATCTGCTATATCCAGTGCCGAGGAGGCCTTTCGGTCAATACCAGGACTCGGGCTGGCTGGGATATGGCAGATAATAATGGTTGAGGAGCTATTTACATTAAACTATTGTTATGGTGTGAAGATATAGCATGTTATTTGTCAGTATATTATATCATGATTAGGGTATTATCGTACCATATATAACGTGTATGTTGAAAATTCATTGAAGTTCTATCTTAGCATTCTCCACGTGATAGATCATAATACGTTGTTTGTTGTTATACTAAATGGAAAAGGAAAAGACGTGTTATACCGTGTTTATTATGGATAAACTTGTAAACATACGTCTTTGTTGGGGTTTTAGCCAGATTTCCCTTGACAGTTCTCCGCAGAACGTCAGGTTAGTGTCAAGTAAAGCGCAGGTCAAAGGTTGAGTTACTATTTTCTGCATAAACATAACAGCTTTTTCTATACACGTAAATAAAATATTGATATCCTACAAGTTCACTAATATAGATTAACTGGATTATCTTACAAGTTCGCTAATCTGGATTAACAGGATTATCTTACAAGTTCACTAATCTGGATTAACTGGATTATCTTACAAGTTCACTAATCTGGGTTAACTGGATTATCCTAAAAGTTCACTAATCTGGAAACAGGATTAGTGAACTTGTAGGATATCGATAGCTCCTGACGAAGCTGTAATAGCGAAATATTGAGCTAATAATGTTACATTTTAGTTATAGGCTGTGATTTTATTTACGTTTATAGAAATGTCTCATAATAAACTCAAGTTTGAGTTAAAGTTAAGAACAGCTTTTGTTTCGATGTTGCTTTTGCGTGAACTAGTCATTTTATCTTAGTCTAAGGTTGTGAGGAATAAAATTACAAGTTTTTACTTTGTGTTCTAATTATATACGGTAATTGTATTATTTTGGAAAGAGTGACCCTGTCGAGGTTATTACAATAAAAAGGGAATTAAAGCATCGCGCATTGTTGAGAACATCAAAACGTCGACATTAGAGATAGACGGAAGGAGTGAACGAGTGTCACAAACACCAGGGTATAAAAAACTTAAATATGAGGGTATATACGTAACCACGTGCTCTTCTACATTCGTCATGTGGATTTTTCTACGTTTTTCTTTTTGCACGTGTAAAGATTTGAATCTGTTGCATCTCGTCTACCAATGTTAGTGATTGTTAAGTCTAGATAGATAGATAGTGCTAAGTTGTGACCAGGCTTATCCTGGAATATTTTTTTTGTATTGCCCAGATTCGAACCCGGCTTCCCAGCTCCAAAATTCAGAGCTCTAACATTGGATCAGCCAACAGCTTGTTTAGATATCAAGAAGGAAACAGCGCATGTTGGAGTGACATTCTTCAATATTTGAAATATTAAAAAGAAATCAAATGAATAACGTGATAACTATCACGTAAGATAAATTAACCTACAACACCCCAACACCTACTACCCTTCATCGTCTGCGGCCAGTTGTTGGCATGGTAGTCACCTTTTCAGAAGTTTAAGATTTTGAAATTAACATCATAGTAGAATTTTTTTGTAAAGAATCACCCATAAATTCTGTCCTTGTTTAACACCCAACCTCCGCCCTTTCGACAATTATTACGAAGTGACAAGAACTAAGTAGTTTCGACAATTATTACGAAGTGACAAGAACTAAGTAGTTTCGACAATTATTACGAAGTGACAAGAACTAAGTAGTTTCGACAATTATTACGAAGTGACAAGAACTAAGTAGTTTCGACAATTATTACGAAGTGACAAGAACTAAGTAGTTTCGACAATTATTACGAAGTGACAAGAACTAAGTAGTTTCGACAATTATTACGAAGTGACAAGAACTAAGTAGTTTCGACAATTATTACGAAGTGAC